GCCCGCAATTGTTCACATTGCGGGCAATTTTTAGCCATTTTGGCTGGGAATTGGAGGGTGAGAGTAGTATTGTATGAAATAATATCTCTCACCCTCCAATTCATCCTATGGCGCCGAAAAAATTTTGGTGAAATGCGACCACATTTCACCAAAATTTCTCGGCGCCATATAGAGAACTAGAGCCTGTGAGGTACTGATACTATCCATGTACCTCGCAGGCTCTAGTTCCAAGCCAAAATGGCTAAAAATTGCCCGCAATTGTTCACATTGCGGGCAATTTTTAGCCATTTTGGCTGGGAATTGGAGGGTGAGAGTAGTATTGTATGAAATAATATCTCTCACCCTCCAATTCATCCTATGGCGCCGAAAAAATTTTGGTGAAATGCGACCACATTTCACCAAAATTTCTCGGCGCCATATAGAGAACTAGAGCCTGTGAGGTACTGATACTATCCATGTACCTCGCAGGCTCTAGTTCCAAGCCAAAATGGCTAAAAATTGCCCGCAATTGTTCACATTCCCATCTTTTGTTGGTAAGACGAAGAATATGAAATAAATTATGAAGAAGATAATGATGAATAAAATATCACTTTTTATATTTTTGACACGTAAAGTTGTCACTTTTCTGTCAAACTGTTTTTATCGTTTTCGTATATAACAATTCTTATTGTTTCGTATTTGTCAACGAATATTGTCAAAGCAGTTTTCACATCTAAAATATTTTTGGACTGTAATGGTATGGCTTCACAGTATCTTGTGTTTTGACCGACAAATATTAACCAGTATGGTGGTCCATCTTCTCTATACCTCGGAATGTTTTCCAAGATATCCATAAACCAAGCATTTGGTGTTGAACTAAAGATTTTTACCATGAGTGCTTTCTTTGTTGCTTTAGAAACATACGGGTCCTTGTTTGAATTCGTCATTTTTAACCCATAAGAAATGGGTTTATTTGGCGCATTAGCAGGAGTCGCATCTAGATTTTTACCCGCAGTGGGAACACTAGCCAGAGGTGCATTTGGAATTGGAAGGAAGATTTTGAGTACATTAGGTATACTGAAAGAGAAAGCACAACCTATTATACAAACTGTACAGAAAGGTTGGGATGTAGCACGAGATGCAGCAAATCTTATTCCAAATCCTGAAACAAGAGGAAAAGTTCAAGGATGGATGGACAATGTAGGAAGACAAGCAGGAAACTACTATAACAAAGCAAATGACTACTATAACCAAGCAGGCCACTATATGGACCAAGGTGAAAGATTCTTTAACAGAGGATATAACCATGCACAACAGTGGGTAAACAACAACCAACCGCAACCACCTCAAACGTGGGGAATGTAAAGTTTTTTACTGAGATGAAATGAACAATACAGCATTGAGACAAATGGGCTCAAGATGGATTTGTCGGCTTCCAGCAGTTACACAACCACGTGTTTGTCAAGTTCTTCCTATACCTCAGGAAGTTTTAGACCGACTTAAAAAACCTAAACAACCAGTTGAAAACAAACCAAACTAAAATTTTTTACTGAGATGAAATGACCGAAGAAGTTGAAACGGTAGATTTGACACCACAAACAAAAAGTTCAGAACCATTGTCAAAACCTGTCAAAGAACTTACAGATGAAGAGAAAAATTCAATAATAGAAAGTGCCAGGTCTGGAAATACAAACTCTAACTACAAAGTCACTTTTCATAAAAATGGAACGGCAAGTATCTCAAAAAAGAAACAGACTCTCACAAATAAAATATTGAAGTCTGAAGGAGCTTTCGAGACAACAGATGGAAAAGTTTACTTCACTGACCAACAGTTCATTATAGAACATCTCATTGACTTAGAGTCGAAATATTCTAAACTTTACAACAAACACAAAAAGTTGAAAGGAAAACAGAAACAGATGGCATATGATATTTATGAAGATGTTGACGACACAACTGAACCAGCAAGTGAGGTAAAGTCAGCAGAACCGAAAAGTGACGAAAAACCAATAGAAGAAGGGAAGCCAAAAACTGAAGATAAACCAAAACCAAAGGTTAGTATTGAAACTAAACCAAGTCAACCTTCATTAGCTGGTATGGGTTGGCGTCAAAGACTTATGGTAGCCGGTGGTTATGTTAAGTAAAGAAAAAACATATTTTTATTTTTATAAAAATGCCCCCGTATAGAATGGATAGAAAGTCTGCTAGAATAAAAGCAGAGTTGCAAAGATATGGCTGGAGAGTTTCGAAGAAGTTTAAATATAGGAAGGGAAGACCCATAAAAGTCTATGACAAACTGGCTGGTCTGACCTACGAAATGGACTTAGAAACAGCACGTGCAAATTATCCAAACAGACTAGAGAGGTTAGAAGAAGAACGTCTTATGGACATGCCTTTCAATGTTAATGAACCTCAAGTTGAAGGACACGACGGCTTTGCCAGATTCTACTGGAAACATGACGAACAATTGCATCCTTTGAGAAGGAAAAAAGGGAAGGGTGAAGACACACATGCTCCCATGGAAAGAACAAGATATGCATATGAGAAGTATCGTGAAGTTAGAAGTAAAATTACATCTGGTCGAACCTTTACAGTAAACTTTGACGATGGAAAGAACAAAGAAGGCTTCATGGGAGTACTTGCTGCAATTCAAGACGGAAATAAGAAAGGATACAATCTCAGACTAACCGTAACAGATTTAGATGGTCACATATACTATGCACATGGCAATGTCACAACAGCCGCACAACTTCTTGACGCTTTCAAGACTACAAAGAGAGAACAAATGTTTGACTCCGACTCAGATATTTTGAATGCAATTGAAGGAATTGCAAGCGTGAAGTTCGAATGGTATCAACCTAACCCTCAAGCAGTCAGACAACATGCTGGGTATTTCCCGTTCAGAAATAAGTCTGACATTGACTTGACAAGGTATGGAATTTACAATTCAATTGAAACAATTGTCAATGAACCTTGTATTCTTACATGTCTCAGGAACTCTGGTCTTGTTACAGATGAGAAAATGAAGTATCTTGAGTCATGTGTGAAGACAAGGTACATTCTTAGAGGTCAATTGACAAAAATTGCACCGTTGGCAAATGTCAATATCCGAGTCAACATTCCGACTGAGAAAGGTTCTTCACATGACGACTATGTTGTTGACTTCAAATTGCCATGGTTGAAGATTGTACTTGTCCACAACCACTTCATGTTGAACGAAAGTCTTACAAACCCATTGTTCGGAAAAGGTAAGTGCAACATTGTCAGAGCTGTTAACATTCTTTTCGAGAAAGGCTTGTTGGAACCAATTCCAGATGACAAGCTGACAGAAACTTTTGTACCAAAAGACGAAACAAACTTTTCATTGTTAGTAAGACCAAAAGTTGTTCCAGACAAAGTTCTAGCACAAAAGAAGTACACAGCTCCAAAAGGAGTTGGATTGTTCGGATACCAACCTGAACCAGAAGAACTTCCAATGAGGTTGCAAGAACTTCAAGATGCTATAAACAAACTTCCATTGAGACATCCAATCGACGTCAAATTGTATTGGAGAGCATCAGAGTTAGGTCAGAAGGTTTTATATGAAACAGGTTGCTTTGACGATGTTTATGAGATAACAGGAGAAGTTTCTCAAAAGATAAGAGACTCACTTGAATTTCCACGAACTGGGCCGATTGGATGCGACAAGTTCGACTCATATGAAAAGATATACTATGTCGACCTTAACGCTGCGTACATGAGGTTCGTCCAATATATTCCGACTGGAATTCCAAACGAAAAAGGTGAGTTCCCGGGAAGGAACTATACAGTTGGAAAAGTCATACAACAAATGTATGATATTAGGAAAGCTTCAAACCCCAAACTTGCAATGACACTCAAATTGCTTATGAATTCGACATGGGGGTATTCCATTAAGAAACCTCAAAAGATGAAGAGTAAACACTATGAGAAGGTCGACAACTTTGTTGAAAGGTTTTCTCCTTTTGTTTTGAAATACGAATTTACTCAAGGTCAAAATGGCTTAGTAACCACAGTAAAACCTATTGTCGAACATTGGTCTTATCCTCAGTTCGCAAAAGCAGTCCTTGACAACTACAACAAATTTTTCTCCGATGTCAAATCCAAAATTGTGGTATACTATGAGAACATCGACGCACTCATGACGAACGAAGAAGGGTACAACAAACTCATTGAAATGGGAATGGTCGGTGAAAAGATGGGCCTTTTTAAGCTAGACAAGGTATTTTCCGAAGTTCATGTAATATCGAAAAGGAAGTACTGGGGTGTTAAAGAAGATGGTGAAATAGTTAAACATTGCATGAAATAAAACATTGCATGAAATAAAACATTGCATGAAATAAAACATTTTTTCAAAAAAATATTTTTTTATTTTATTTGAAATGTACGCTGAGTTTGTTGGAGAAGACCGTTGGGAAACTTGTTTGTTAGATGAGAAATATGAAATTCACTGTTGTGAGTCATTTGAAGTCAGAAACAAAAAGACAAAAAGAGTTTTAAGCGAATGGGAGCAAAATAACGGATATGCTACTATGAAGATGGGTGGGAAACGCTATCTTAAACATGTTGTCATTGCAACTCATTTTATACCGAACCCTAACAATTTACCTTTTGTAGACCATATAAACCGTATAAGAAACGACAATAGACTTGAAAACTTACGTTGGGTCACTCGTTCTGAAAACAGTAAGAACATAGGCAAATTTGGAGATATTGTATTCGAATTTGTCGACGAACTAGAAGATGAAACAATTGAAATTACAGACTATGGCGAGCATACGTTTGAGTTTTACTACTATAGCGAAGAACAAGACTCTTTCTACTTTTATACCGGCGTAAACTATAGGAAATTACAAGTATGTTTTACTAAGGAAGGCTATGCTTATGTAAACACTAGAGATACAGATGGAAAACGCGTTAAAATACTTCTTAACAAATTCAAGAAGCTATATGGCATACCATTTTAAAACGTTTTTAAAACAGTATATTTTTACATATATTAAATGCTTCAGGTTGAAAAACAAAGAACAAAAGTAGCAGATACAAAACCGTTAGACTATATCTTTACAAACGCTGGTAGGAATATTTCAGATGAAGAAATTTCATCCGGAGCTTACAGGTTTGACTATCCAATTCGTTGGCTTCAAAGTCCTTCAGATGCAAAGGCAATAGGATTTAGAAGAGTTTTGTTTTCAAATAGAACTAACGCGTTTATGTTCGCAGTATATTTTCACGGTCAGTATAAAGGCTCTGATGGTCTAATAGAAAAATTTGATGAAATGAAAATCTTTACAATTCGTTCAGACGAAAGTCTTGAAAAAACTCTAAATGACTTTCAAACTCAAATAAACAAATACTACTGGGAATTTCAAGAAAAATACCACTCTTTACTAAATGGAACATACTATCTAAAACTAGAATACGACAAGATGAACTCCACAGTTTCATTTCAAAAGATTGAAATTAACCCTCCAAGAGATACAGAGTTTTTATATTGGGGGTGGACAAACGTTCTTGGGCACAATTTCTTCGGTTACTAAACCAGAACGAACCATTGCCACCAGATGGTCCATTTAAATTTGTACTTCCACCAACAGATTTGACAGTTTATAGAAACGTGTTTGACCCTCAAAATGTCATGTGTCATGCAAGTTTCAGTTCAAGCAACAACAGTTTTCTTTGTATTGGTAAGGACTTTTATGACTTTGCTTCTAAATTCTACGAACCACCTAGTAACAGTTTCTCTGACTTTCAAGTTTGGTTCACAACAAACGGTGTGCAGCATATAATACCATTGTACTATGACTTTTATCTCGAATTGTCTTTCATATACAACTACGGAAAAGTGCTGAAAAAGTATTGAAAAATGAGTTTTGGTTGAAAAAAGAGGTGGAGCCAAAAGTGGCTCGACCTCAAAACAAGCATTTTGTGAAGAATATACCACCCCGCGGAATTCCGCGGGGTGCTTTTTATACAAAATTCAACAGGTGAATTTTCATGAATTTCCTTAAGATAGAAAAAAGTGAGTTAAAATGAGATTTTTATCGTTGTGGTCCGACGGTTAAGCCACAAACGAATGTCCGACGGTTAAGCCACAAACGAATGTCCGACGTACCACCAAAAAATATTTTTTTATTTTTATTGTAAGAACAGTATGACAGTCGAAGCAAAAACGTTCACGAACAAATCTAATGGCGAAACATTCACAAAAGGCACTTACAACGGTATTGAAGTCTTACGTAGAGACAAGGATGGTTATATAAATGTAACAAATATGTGTCAGCAGTTTAGGAAAGACTTTAGAAGGTTGTTGGAAAATAAGTCCTGGGAAGAGTATTTTAAGGCATTTTGTGAAGAATATACCACCCCGCGGAATTCCGGCGGGTGCTTTTTATACAATGTTAATGCAGGAATTCCGGATGAAATCAAACAGGTTAGAGGAATGTATGTAGACCCAAGACTCGTAAACTATATAGCAATGTGGGCTTCTCCAAAATATTGCATAGCAGTTGGAAAAATTATGGACTCCATAGACAAGAAAGTTCATGAGAAATTAGATGAAGAAGAACTTGAAGATACAGCAGAGAATGCTAAACCTTTGTTCGAACAAGAAGTTAGAAAAATGCATGAAAAACAAATAGAACATGAACATGAGATATGTTCTGGTTATAGAGACTCTCCATACGAACTAGACCAATGGGAACAAGAAGATTTAAAGAGAGAATTTAGAGAATATGAACTCGCTAAAGTTTCATTAGAAGCTGCAGAAGAGAGGTTAAAAGTTTGGGGTCGTTTTGTACAAAAATATTGTGAGTAAATGAACCATTTTTTTTATTGAATTCGGCAAAAATATATTTTAGGGTAGATGGTTTTTAGGTGTCACCAGGTCCCTCGGTCCCTCGGTCCCTCGGTTAAACGAACTTCTCTGAAAAAGTGTGACAACATGACATTTAGACAACAACACAGGAGATAGACTTCTTCGTATATGTTTTGTATAAAAAGCAACCCGCGGAATTCCGGCGGGTGGTATATTCTTCACAAAATGCTTGTTTTGTTGAGACTTCTTCGTATATGTTTTGTATAAAAAGCAACCCGCGGAATTCCGGCGGTTGGTATATTCTTCACAAAATGCTTGTTTTGTCAAACATGAACGTCAATGTTTTGTATAAAAAGCAACCCGCTGTTTTCCGCGGGTTGGTATATTCTTCACAAAATGCTTGTTTTGAGGTCGAGCCATTTTTGGTTCCACCTGTTTTTTCAACCAAAACTCATTTTTGTCGGCAAAAATATATTTTAGATCTCACCAGGTCCCTCGGTCCCTCGGTCCCTCGGTCAACTAACATCTTTTTGAAAATGGTGACAACATGACATTTTGACAACAACACAGGAAATAGACTTCTTCGTATATGTTTTGTATAAAAAGCACCTGCCGGAATTCCGGCGGGTGGTATATTCTTCACAAAATGCTTGTTTTGTTGAGACTTCTTCGTAAATGTTTTGTATAAAAAGCACCTGCCGGAATTCCGCGGGGTGGTATATTCTTCACAAAATGCTTGTTTTGTTGAGACTTCTTCGTATATGTTTTGTATAAAAAGCAACCGCCGGAATTCCGGCGGTTGGTATATTCTTCACGAAATGCTTGTTTTGTTGAGACTTCTTCGTATATGTTTTGTATAAAAAGCAACCGCCGGAATTCCGCGGGGTGGTATATTCTTCACAAAATGCTTGTTTTGTTGAGACTTCATCGTCAATGTTTTGTATAAAAAGCAACCGCCGGAATTCCGGCGGTTGGTATATTCTTCACGAAATGCTTGTTTTGAGGTCGAGCCATTTTTGGCTCCACCGTAGAAAACACACAAAACTCATTTTTGTCTGATTTACGCTCATTGACGAAGAAGTCTCAACAAAACATATACGAAGAAGTCTATTTCCTGGACTGTTGTCAAAATGTCATGTTGTCACCATTTTCAAAAAAATGTTAGTTGACCGAGGGACCGAGGGACCTGGTTAGATCTAAAATATATTTTTGCTGAAAAAAATGACCAAATTTCATGAATTTCCTCATATGTTTGCGACCCTCGGAAAACCGAGGAACGAGATTCCGTACGAAAATCGCAAGAATTTGCGACCGGTGGAAAACCGCGGGTCGAGATTCCGTACGAAAATCGTGAAAAAAAACTCATGAAAATCGTGAAAAAATGCTACCCTCGAAAAACCGAGGATAGAGATTCCGTACGAAAATCGTGAAAAAAACTCATGCAAATCGTGAAAAATTGCGAGTAGGGGGAAAATCCTGGCCGCCTAAAACTCATGAAAATCGTAAAAAATTGCGAGTACGGGAAAAAACCGTAGTCGCCTAAAACTCATGAAAATCGTAAAAAAATGCGAGTAGGGAAAAAACCGGGTCGCCAAAACTCTATGAAAATCGAAAAAATTGCGACCCCGACTTTTCCCGGGGTCGCCTAAAACACATGAAAATCGCGAAAAAATGACCAAATTTCATGATATAACTGTATTTTTTTGACGAAGAGAACTTTTGCACTTCGTCAAAAAAATCCCTGAAATCATATCTTTTATACAAGATAAAAAAATAGCGTTAGTTTTTATTTTTTTTATTTTTTTATTTTGTATGTAAGAACAGGAAATGACAAACACTGAGTTTGAAACAGTTAAAAAGATAGACAATGACACCAAAGTGGTTAGAATTGGTGATTTAAACGTAAGATACTCAAAGAAATACAAAAAATATTCTTTGTCAGACATTTTAACACTATCTGAAGGAAAGAAAGCACACGACTGGGTTAAAAATGCTTCTACTCAGAAAATTTTGACAAAAAATCCTGAGCTTATGATATCGGTAAGATTCTATGGAACAAGAGCATATCTTATAGACAAAAGTCTTACCAGTAGTTTTGTTCTGGATTGACCCAGTTGTTGGATATAATTTCATAACATATGGTTCATTCGATACGGAACGTTGCTGTGAAGGCTTACTTTACATCGTTCAGAAACCGAAGGACTTCAATACAAAGAGATATAAGATAGGAAGAACATTTAATATAACTCAAAGATATGACAGTATAGTCAATAGAGTTAAGGTTGCGTTTGTTAACGATATGAGCGCTGCTGAAACAGAACTACTTGAAAAGTTTGAGAAAATGTATGGTGCTCCCACGAGAGGTAAAGAAACGTTTGAAGTAGATGAGATAGCTAAAGCTATAAAATTATTTGACGAAGTTGCTGAAAAATACATGTAAAGCGTTTATTTTTGGTCTTTTATACAAGATAGAAAATAACGCTAATTTTATTTTTATTTTATTTTTTATTTTGTATGTAAAGACAGATATGACAACAACAGAGAACACAAACAACTGCTATCGTTCATGAAGCCATAAGTGAAGAATACGAGTGGGTTCAGTTTAACAAACAGTTACGTCTCATTCGTTCGGTCAAAGATGACATGTACCAAATGCAAAGTATTTTGACAGCATGTTTTGCACCAGATATCAAACATACAGACGATTGGTTCAAAAACCAAAGCACACAAGAACTTTTGAGCGAAGCACAGCGAGACCGACTTTTTTCGGGGTCGCCAAAACTCTATGAAAATCGTAAAAATTTGCCAAATGGTTTGAGAGGTTGGTATGTACATAGACTTCTTGTAAATGCTGTGGCACAATGGGCTTCGCCTCGTTATGCTTGGTATATTTGCAGACTTCTTGACGAAATTCATAGACAAGAACGTGAAGAGCTAGAGAACAAGCTTGAAGCAAAAGACAAAAACATACAGAAAAGAATACCACGTTCGGTACCAAAAGGAAAGGAAAAGAACTATAAGTATATGATTTACACTGAAGAGATGGAAAATGAAGAAGACAGAGATATGGTTATGTTGCATTTAGTCAGAAGAACAACAAAAGCTTTTACGACCTTGCTAAGATTTACAAATCTGACAGAAATTGGTTCTATCGCGAAAACTTACCGATTTCAATGACACCAAATGAAGATGTTAAACAGATAGTTCAAGATACGTTACCTCAAACACACTATGATATGAAAGGTTGTACAATACTTACATTCAAAGAAGATTTGCCGCTACTGAAGGAAAAGATAACAGAGTATTTTGACAACTTCAAAGAGGAAGAGTAAATGAACCATTTATTTTTCAAGCTTGACACCAAAGATGGCTCAGGTAGCTCTAGATGGTAAATTGTCTTGTCCGAGTCCTTCTGGCATTCCGAGTCCTTCCTTCCAACAGGAAAAAAATTTCCTTCCAACAGGAAAAAAATTTCCTTCCAACAGGAAAAAATTTTCCTTCCAACAGGAAAAGTTTTTCTTTCCGACAGGAAAAATTTTTCTTTCCGACAGGAAAAATTTTTCCAGTTGTCCGTCCGTAAACCATTCAAATTTTCGAAAATTGAGAACTTTTTGGCCGACCTTCAGGAAAAATTTTTCTTTCCGACAGGAAAAATTTTTCTTTCCGACAGGAAAAATTTTTCTTTCCGACAGGAAAAGTTTTTCTTTCCGACAGGAAAAGTCCTTCCTTCCGACAGGACACAAACGAATGTCCGACGTACCACCAACCGAGTCCATTCCAAAGCCAGAAGAACCGACAGCCCCAGCACCACAACAGACTAAGACTCAAACACTTACATTTTTACGCTTGACTTTTTACAATTTGAACTTTGTTTGCGTAGATGTGAATTCTGAAAGAAGTATGAGGGTCTTGTATGACTTTGTACTTCTCCCATAGTTCATGTCTGTCAAACTTACCTGCCATGGACTCTTTCATAAGTTCCATGAAATCGTCTTCGGACAATCCGGGGAAAAGTATGATATCAGTAAGTATTCTCTTTACATCCTTACTTAAACTCTTGGCTGTCTGTACACAAATGACAACTGAGATGTTAAAGTGTCTGAGCTTCTTAAGAATTCGACACATGTCTTGTTCTCTGTTCTTTAACAAAGGATGAGAAGCAAAGTCATCTAAGATAAGAAGACACCTATGAGGGTAAGTCTTCCAATCGTAAGATTGCAATTTCTTCGAAATGTATTCTATCTCTTTCTGTTTGTTTCTGAAGTGTTTCTTCTCTAATATTCTCTGCATTTCCTCATTTGGGTCTTTAAACTTAGAATTGACATACTCATTTATAGCATTGTACTTCAAAACTCTTCTTTGGTACTTCTTTATCCAATCTAACAACTCAGAGTCTTTTATACATACTAACTTTGACTTTTTATAATAATCTTTCTTTGAACGAATTGACGGTTTGGTCAAATTGACCAGAAGTACTACAAATGACTACTAACTCATAGAATGGGTTCTTCTCATCTAGTTCTTGTTGTTGTGCAGCCATTTTAAGATAAGTGAAAGTCTTACCCGACCCAGGTGGTGCGATTAGACCTGTTATACCATTCTGAGCAAATAGGAACTTGTCATGTATGGGTTTTATCTGAGCATTTTCCAACTTCCTCTTGTTCTTGTTTAAAACATTCTCAAATTTCTTGTCAATGTCAGCAAACTTTTTTTCTAACATATTTTTAGAAAAATTAAAATTTTTATCTTTTAGGAAATGTCTAGCGATTTCGCTATCTATATTCGAGACAAGCTTTTCGACAGCAAAACATCTGTCGACCATAAAATCTTACATAGTGTAAACAAGAAAGGGGAATTTGTTCTAAAGTTCTGTTTCTGGGAATATGACAAGAACCATAAAACCTTAAGCAGAGAAGTCTTAAAATTTGTCAATGACAGACTTGTTAACAGAGATGACGCCTCTTGGAGAGATGAAGTCCAACAAAACTTCTTAGAATGCAAAGAAGACACATGCGCTGTTCTTGAAAATGAAATAGAAAACAGAATAGAAGAGCTATTAAATGACAAAGCACTTTTACAAAAATATGGTTCTGAGAAGTTTGACATAACTCCACCAGAGAAGAAGAAGAGAGAAAAGAAAGAAAAGAAAGTAGAAGAAGAGAAGAAAGAACCAGAGCCAGAGAAAAAGAAATTTGACATGTAAAAATAAAATTTTATTTTTAGAACATTTCTGGGTCAATGTCAATGTTCTCTTCCTCTTTAGGAGCAAACACTGGCTTAGACTCTAAAATCTTTTTACCCAATTTACCTTGAACTTCAACTATCTTAGACTCATAATATTCATAGTCGTCTGCTTTCTTTGGTTCATAATGTATAACAAGTTTGTATGCTTTGCCTTCTTTAAGGTTTGAGAACCTTCTGTCAAAACTTTCTTTGACTGTCAACAAACCTTCTATGTCTAAGTCTTCAAATTTCGCACCATTTTTAGTCACAATAGCAAACTTAACTGGTTCGATGTTCCAAACTTTGTCAAATGTAGACTTTTCAAAATGGTAGAAGTAAACATTCAAATATGTGAATGGGTCTAGTTCTTCTTTAAGTCCTGACATGTACTTGTTTACTGAGATGAATTTCGTCATCTTTTCTATCGGATAAAAAAATATTTTTTTTAAAATTTACTCAGAAAAATTTTTCTTTGTATATATACCATTCTGTACGTCTAAAAGACTTTTGACATTTGCCAAGAATGTTCGTTTAGACGCTGTCATATAACCATACTCTTGGCAATATTGTTTATACGAATCGTACAATGACCTTTCATCTAAACACTCAAAGTCAGTTTCATCTATGAACAGTTCATATACACTCTTGTTTGCTTCTAACAATGTTTGTCTCTCTTCGGTATGTGGAATTTGTCTTGGATTGAACTTAGAAATATCTAATGTCATGAAATATGAGAACAAGTGGTTGTAAAAGTTAGGTGTCAAAGTTTCTGCTAAGTCGTCAAAATATTCTGTATCTTGCATATGAGCTTCTGACGTTCTGACAACTACATATCTTCTGTCAGAACTTTCTAACTTCATCGGAACGGCGTTGTTTGAAACCATGATGAAATTTGCAACATTTTCACAAACTCTTTGGTCTTTATATTTTCTTTCAACAACTCCAACTTTGTCTGTTATAAGACTCTTCAAAGCATCTGAGTTTAAAACCTTTGTTGTATCTATACTTTGAAGTTCGTTACATACTATAAGTTTCATATTCTCTATTGAAGAGTTAAATTTACCGCAGATGTTTTCTAAGTTTGTCATATTCGGGTTCGAATAGCCCTCTAACAGTTTGCATAAGATATCTGTAAAAGAAAGTGTTCTTACCTGTTCCTTGTTTTCCAAATTATGATGAGAGCAGTTTCATTTTTAGCACTTGGATGTTGTAAGATGTTTGCAAACAACATAAGATATACTCATAGACTCTTTCGTTTCCATTGCATATAATTTCTTTGACATGGTCTAACCAAAGCTTCTATAACATTTTCTTTCCATTCTACTTGTTCATAATTTTATATCCAGTGAAGATAGAATAGAAAGTTTGGAGAAAGGTGTATAGAACTTTATACCACGAACTGAAAAATCTTCTAACTTTGACAATAAGATATCCCAAGCATCTAACATCTTCATGCCAACTTGTACGACTTTTATTTTCTTAAGTTTCTGTTTACATTCTTGTTCAGACACTATTGTTGCTCTTGGTTTGTTAAAGACAACATCCCATTCTTTCATAACATAACATTCTGGGGCAGAGTCGACATAAATGACTAAACGTTTCAAAATTCTCGACTGCTTTGTTATAGTCCTCTAAATGGACACATATTTCTGAATGCTTGGAAGTCATAAAAATCTGAAACGTCTATTCTGTACATTTTTATAAAAATAAAAAAAAATATTTTTTTTATTTCTTGACTTTGTTGTTGCATTTGTTCCATTTGTTGCATTTGTTGTTCTTGAGCTATTTGTTGTTGAAGTTGTTCTTGTAGTACAATACTTTCACCAGTTGCATCTTCAATTCGAAACTTTCTGCCGTCATTGACAAATACATAGGACATAAAAGTTTTACAGGAACAAAGTTTGCGTCAACTAAGGTTAAGTTTATGTTTGCTAAAGTGTTTGAGTTTACTAAAGCTGAAAACTCTGCATTCGAATGAACAATAGGCAAACCAGCAGAGAAAGTGTTGTTTATACGCATGAGTATCTTTTGGTCATAGTAGTTTCTGTCGACATTCGAAATAGCACTTTGAACCTAAGTTTGAAACAATATATAAAATAGGTGTACTTAAAGTCAATGGAACAGACAAACCTTGTATGACACCTTTTCCTGTTATAGGAAACTGTTGGTAGTAAAAACCAGATATAAGTTTTGTATTATAGCTCATATCGTTTATAGTAAACTCAGTCGGACATCCAAACATAATGAAACCTGCTCTAGTTGCAGCACATGTTACATCCGTCCTTAAAGTATTAAATAAGTCAACAAAACCTGTTGGTGGTATATCTGAGTAAGTATCTTCAAGGAGTATTTTTTACCATTCACAACAACAAAGTCTTCTGGTGTCAAAAGAGCAAAACAGGCTTTAGTCGTCATCGTGTTTAAGGTCAGTTTACAATATCGTCCTTGAGGACTTTGTAAGTTTGTTGTTATAGAATTATATGACTCAGGGTTTTTAGTCGTAATAGTATAAACCACTATGTCTTCTGCCATTTTTATATATTTAAAAGTTTTTCTGAAAGTGGAGAAGAACTTCATCTAAACTTTCACATGGCGTTTCTTGAAGTTCTCTGTCTAAGAAGTTCAAATATTTTGTAAAGACATAGAACTTTCCTTTGTCTACACGAACAAACAAAACAGGGTCTTTCATATCGTTCAAAAGTGTGTAAAGTCCTTTACATGAAATAAAGTCTATATTGTTTTTCTTCAAACATCTTTCAAGAAGTTTTGACATTTTTACTTAGCAAGTAAATTTTAATGAAATGTTGTGGTCGTCAAATATTTTTATGACGTCTGGGAAACTATATTTTAAGTTCAACGTTTCACCTCCTTTCATAACGTATATCTTGTCAATGACATTATATGAAACACCACAGCAAGCAATGTCAGGTTCTATTTCTTTGATGTTTATATCGTCTGCCTCTGTCAAAAGTTTCAATAGTTCTTTCAAAACTTCATGAGGTGCAATGACATATGAGTTCACTTTTACAGGGTTGTGTTCGACCAAGTTTAACATTATACCCAAAGCCTGACAAATCTTCTCCTGAGTTTTAAGTTTGTCTTTAAGTTGTTGGTAGTCGTTTCGAATATCTGCAACAGAACTTAAGTCTCTGCTAACTTCAGGATATGTTGGTTGTTCTTTTACAGGAACTATTGTTATACCATCTTCGTCTTCGTATGGTTTCCCCACTTCAACATCTCTGTCTTTGACATTGACAACAACACTTTGACTGTTTGTTTGAGTTGGTGAATTTAACTTCACATCTGCCACCGCCATTAAACCTTTTGAAACACTTACGCTTCTATTTTTCGGAAATGACATTTTACTTAGAATAAAAAGATGGACGTATTTGAGTATCTCTTCGAATTGAAGCAGAACAAAGTTTACACACACAAACAATACAAGTTCATTGACAGAATAGTTCTTTATACAAACAATGGAAAATGTTATAGAATAGCAGTCTTTGCTGAACCAAAATATTTTCATAAAGCAAAGAAAGTTGGTATAACCGAGATGGTGAAAGTTCTTGAAGCAGACAAAAATATGACTTCAAAACTGACCGATATTTCTAAAGGTAAGTTTATAATACAATACTATGTCAAAACTGGCGTACTGTCAATATTTGACGGAGAGAAGTCAGTTCAAGAACAACTTACTGACCTGCTGCCAAAATCTGCTCGATGGAAGCTGTCGTTATACCAATCTGAGGAGCCCCAGCAGGTTTCATCGAACGAATTTTCAAAAGAGCATCTTCCGTGAAAAGTGCTATTGGTTTTGTAAACTTCTTTGCTTTCAATTCATCTGGACCGTCTCTGTCACCAGTATATTGTATTTGAACTGTACCAACAGTTGAAATACCACCCATAAAGTCTTCTGAGTCAGCAAATGGAATGCCAAGCCAAAAGTTTGAACGGTCTCCATTTGTATATTGAGTGTTTTGACCTCCTGTATGAGTCCATACTTTCACATATGGCATAATAGAACTTTGCATTTCAGGGTTAATGGTTGTTGTGAAGTTGTTGTTAAAGTTCATAGCATCTAATGTCAAGTTGTATGACCTCATATCCTCAACTGTAGAATATTCTTCTCTTGGATAGTATTTGCCATCTATGTTTATATGATATTTAATACCGGGGTTGTAGAAACAAGAATAGTCATTTATAGTTCGTCTGAACAGTACAAACATAGTATCTGCATGTTTCATTGCAGTTGTTAAGGCAATATCTGTTCTTGCACCTGGGTCAGCACTTTGGTTTCCAACTTCACCTGCAAAGTCTTTGACAGATATTTGGTGTATAGGGAACATAAGTGGAACTGCAATATATTTGGCAGCTAAAGCATTTGAAATATCTGGGTCCAACATATAGACTGCAAGTCTGCTTTCTATTCTCTTGCATTCAAACTTTTCGCATGTGAACTTAACTGGGTCCCAAGCAGTTCCAGCAGCATTGAAGTAGTAGTTTACTTCAGTGTTGAGGTTTGAGAAACCAAAGTCTAAGTCAACTTTGTCTTTGCAAAAGTCACAGAACTTGGCTCCACCAGTTCCAGCTACAGTAAGAGTGAATGGGTCTTGTGTTGGTGCAATGACTAAGTTATTTTTGCTTGGAGTAAGTTCGATAGAAATTTTTCCTGCCCAGTTTGGCAAGTATCTTAAAAACCTGAAGATGAGGAAAGATGACAAAGGAACTCTAAGTTTCAATTTTACTTTGGTTACTGCTGCTGCAGTTTGTCCAGAAAGGTCAACATAAACTCCTGGAACGTTAGGGTCAAGTCTTCTTATTTTCTCAATAGTTGCATACTGGTCTGTTTGTTCTCTAGCTTGTGTTGTACTGAGTTTCTCAAAGCGAACCATTCATAGTTTGCCCATGTTACTGTTTGAACTAAGTCAGAGTTAGAATATATCTTATATCCCATGAAAACTTCTGGAGCATATTGGTATCCGACATAGAAAATTCCATTGCAACCTTTCTTGTCAGACAACTTGGCAGAAGGTTTTATTTCAATGTCTTGTTCCACGTATAAGAAAGAGTTGTCAATAGAAATTATATGAAACCTGTCGCAAGCAATATCTACTGTTGTTGAAGAACCTTCTCCAAACTCACCTACGTTTCCATAAGAAACAGCAGTTGTATATTCGTAAGTTCCAGGAACTATTTCTGACCTTCTAATGGCATTGTCGCATTCGTTATACCATTCGGAAACATTTCCATTCATGGCATCCAAAACTGTTGGCGTTATATTCTGAGCGGCGTACATTTCATATGGGTAAAAATATAGAATAGTTGGGTTTATGTGTCATAATAGAACCCACGTGGACCAAGCTTTACTTTCTTCCTGACTGAGTTTTTAACTCTTCTTTTTCCTTCATTGCCACTACTTTCACTAGATGAAGTTAGTTCTTCACTACTTTCACTTTGTTCTACTCTTCTTCTTTGGTGTCGCTTTGGTAACTTGCCCTCTGCTTGAAGTTGTTGCATCTTTGCCTCATGTTCACCTAGTATGTTGTAAATTTCCCATGTCCTTTTTGCCTTTGGGCTCTGGTCGCCCATCTCAGGTAACCAATATCCTAGAAAGAGTTTGTCATAGTTTGTATTTGAGTCTTTGCGTATTGTTTGCATGACTCTGTCCTGAGTTTCCGGTTCAAGCTCTTCAAACAGTGCCTGTCCATATGGAATAAGCTCGTTTCCAAATATATGTTTTTGTAGCCATTCTGGTTTTCTTTCCATGTTACCAACTATATCTTTTGTGAATGGGAAAGCTTTTACCCAATCTTTCAGTCTTGCGTCGTTTATTTCTGTAGTTGGTTTTATTTTGTCAAGGAACATGTTTTTCAATACTAACATTTCATTTGGTACTGTCCATTTGAGTTTTCTTAAATATTCATCCCTTCTCAGTTCATCGTCTGCAAAGTAAGTTTTTATGACATTTTGCAAACTTTCATTTGCAAGGTCATGTACAATAGGTTCTCTTCCTTCGCTCTCCCTAACTTTCTTTCTAAACTCTTCACCAAATATACCATCTCTATGGTTCTGTGTAGTTCTTTGAGATAAATGTTCTAGAACGTCAGGTGTTATATTTCCATCAGCCATGTTCATTTCATACTGGTCCAAAATATCTGCATGTTTCATATCTTTCAATGGCATTAAAGCCGCGCTTAAAATACCAGCTATATCTGGTTCACCATTGACTTCCATTGCGTCTACAACTTCTTGGAATTGTGGTTGTAAGTTTATGAACCACCTATCCGGGTTAGCTTTATGACCCCATCTCATTGTAGTTCCATCGTCTGCAGAAACAAAAGTAGGTTTGTTTCCATCTTGGTTAGGTTCTGAATGAACTTTAAACAATGTTTCATTTCTATATGTTTTCTTGAAATTTAACCTTTTATTTTCACCGAGTTCATCCGAAGATTGAACGTTAAATGCTCGTAAGTAAAAAGGGTTGTTGTATTTGTGTACATTTTCTTTCAGTACTTCCATTCTATGCTGAATATTTTCATCTGGTGTTGGAGTCTTTTGTATGTCGGCAAACATTTTTCGATATTCTTCTACTATGTCAGCCGAATTTTTTTTAGACTCTTGGAAATATTCCATATTCTCCGCATACACTTGTTGAGGGTCAAGATTTTTCGGCTGTTCCAAATCTTCATCTAGTTCTGTGAAGTTAGTTTCCAAAGGAGTGACTTGTTCGTTTCCTTCAGGCTCTTCTAGCTGTTGTTGCTGAACTATTTCTTCCATGTCTGGTTGTATCTGAACTTCTTCCTGTGGAGTTTCTTGTACCTCATCTGCTGACATTTCATATATTCCGAGACCGTTTTTAACAAATTCCCTATTTAAGTCATCCGCATTCATAAGCCTTTGTTCTTTCGTTCCGTCTCTATTTTTTACGCGTTTCATGCAGATAGTTGAATCATTATTTAGCTCTGACACCAAATATCTCGGAGTAAATTCATCCATGTCATTTGGATGATATGCTATTAAATCATATCCCTTTGCGAGCTTGTATTTTCCAGGTTTGAAATTATATCCGATTTGGTGCTGAGCCATAAAGCTAAATAGGTTCGGGTCAGTATTTCCATCCTTGAACTTTCGAATAGCTTCTTTATATCTGTCACTAAAGTCAATAGTATCTGGGTAACCATAGTCTTCTTTAAGCATTTTTAAGAATTCTTGGTTTCCTTGTTCTCTACTTCTTTTATGTCCTTGCTCTGTTTGTGGTTGTTGTTGTGCAGGGTTTTGAACTGTTGGTTGCTGTGCTGGTTGTGCAGCGTTTTTGAACTGTTGGTTGTTGGTGCTGGTTGTGGAGGTGGTTGTTGCTGGTTTTGGTGCATGCCTGTGTCTGTGTCCATGTGACGATGTAAATGTTTTAGGTAGTCCTGTGCAGGTGCTTTCTCTTGGAGGGTTTGGTGGTATATAAGTCTCCACTAGCTAGTATATAAGTTCCACCAGCTGGTATATAAGTTCCACCAGCTGGCACATATGTTCCATCTGCAGCGTAATGTTACCTGACTTTTCGTTTTTTAAGAAAGCATTTACTAGGTCTGTTTTGGTCTGTTGTAACTCTTTTTCTTGATTTTCACAACAGTTGCTCTAACGGCGTCATAGCACTTTGAACTGCCTGTCTCGTTGCTGCATCTGTTATTTCGTCATATTTTGTGCTACTTCTTTTAACTCTTTGTCGAAACTTCGGACTTCAGTTTCTTTCCAGATGAGAAGTCGTTCACTTGTTTCACCTTACTATGAAGAGCTTCGAATAGGCGTTCTTAAAGTCAGCATTTGTTAAAGCTTCATTTGAACTGTCTTCATCCGCTTGTATTTTTGTCCTTATTGACCCTATGAGTTGGCTGGCTTTAGCGTTGGCTTGGGCATCTAACCAGTCATTGTTAGCTTTTATATATTCTGCGCTTTTCATTGCCTTTTGCATGGCTGCGTCGTTATTTTTACTTTCTTGTGCTAAGTTTTCATACTGTACGGTTTGGTTTTGCAACTGTAAAAGTTTTCTGCCTTTACATTTGCTTCAACTTCTTTTTTATACTCATCGCTATCCATATATGTCTTCAGGGCTTTTTTGTTTTATCTCTTCATTTCAGTACTTTATATCGAGTAGTATGGTTTTTCAAAATTACAACATCTTGTTCCATTTTTGCTACTTCTGCTGCTTTTTCTGACATTTTTTCGCATATTCCTCTGTACTTAGTTCTTTCAGTTGTTCTTCTTTCTTCTTTTTCTCTACGTTTAACTCATTGAGTTTCTTTGTGTGTCTGTCATATTCTAGTTTCTTTTCGTTTTCACCTATTTGCTTCTGTATGTCTATGTTTGACTTTTTGACATCTGCTATTTGATTTTTGAGTGAACTCAAATTCATTTGACTTTGAGGGTTATAGGCTGTTCCGTCTGCAGCTCCACCATAGCCTGCCATTTTCGCTAAAAGTGCCGCTCTTAAACCTCCACTCTGTGCACCAATGACTCGGTTTAAAAGCATAGGATTGCTTGACATTTGTTGCAACATAGTGGGGTCATTCAGCATTTGTTGTTGCAACTGTTGTTGTGGTGTTAGTCTTACTATTGGATGTTTCAATGCTCTCTTCCTCTTACGTATATTCTTACGTAGCTTACGTGGCATTTTAAGTGAAGTTAAAAAGCGGTTTTATACTAAACATCTTCGGGGCTAGAGGGCACGAAGTGCCTGGAAGCCCCAATACCTTTTTTTTTTTATGTGATATTATTTTTCAGAAGATTTTGTGTTTTTCTTCAAAATTTTATTTTTTTATTAAAAAGAATCTTTACAAAATATACATTTACTTTAATTAATATTTAAAAACGTGCTCTATCAAAAGTTCCAAAAATTCAATATTTTAGCTTTTCTGAGGTGTCACTTTTGATGAATTTCTGTTTACAACAATTATATGTAAAACACATAGTTGGAATTCAAGGCATCGTTAATTGACAAGTCTCATCACACTTTTCAATATAAGCTCCATTTTTAAACAGTTTTTAAAAATCGAGCATTGAAAAGTGTGATGAGACTTGCAAAATTATAAAATTGAGATACCAGACAAAAATGAAAGCTTTTTGATCAATTAATGCAGAAAATAGATATCTATTGATGATAAGAAAAAACGAAATCAAATTGATTTTAAAATCAAATCTTGAATTTTCGGTAATAGATGCAGATTGAAATGCTATATCTAAATTAACCATAATTAGTTTGAATTGATTTCAAAAGTATAAATACAATTAAATGCGGATTTACAAATTTGAGAATGTCAAAATTTTGTTTTTGTGAATAAAATTCAATTTGTAAAATGCTTACCCAAAACATTCCACAAAGATTTGGCAAGTATCGAGTGCTAAATATTGTTGGACAAGGAGCTTATTCAACTGTCGTTAAAGCACTAAACGAAAAAACCTCAGAGATTTTTGCAATCAAGGTCATTGACAGACAAATGGTCACAAATTCTGGAATGTTGCGTTACCTTGATACAGAACTCAGAATTCTTGAAAGAATATCGCACCCCTCATTGATCAAAGTCTACGAAATTCTTTACGAAGAAAAATTTATCCTCATAGTTATGGAATTTTTGCCTCATGGTAATATCGTCGATATATATGAGAACAGGATCTTCTTTTCGTTAAAGGAGCGACTGGAAATCTGTATTAAAATCCTTCAAGGACTGAATTTTCTGCATGATCATGGAATTGCTCACAGAGATATCAAACCAGAGAATATAATGTTTGACGTAGAAAATAATCCAAAAATTATAGATTTTGGCCTTTCATGCGATAGAAATTGTCTGAAAAAAACGTTTTGTGGTTCAAAACTATACATGGCTCCAGAAGTAATGAGAGGTGATAAATATAATGGCTTCAAAGCAGACATTTGGTCTCTTGGTGTGACGTTTCACCTTTTCATGTCAAATGAGCTGCCATTTGACTACAACAGCGAAGCAAAACTTCTTAGAGAAGTTAGGAATGGTAGATTGTGCTTGAAAAACAAAACTAATGGTCCAATTAAGGAAATTATTAATAAAATGCTTGATCTCGATCCAGAGAACAGACCGACTGTTAAGGAACTTATTGAAATGTTTAACTTATTCAGACCAACTGTAGAAAAGAAGCTAACACTTCCTAGAATTACATTTAAACCAGAACAGTCAAAAATCAATCGTGCTAGAACAGACGATGTGTCATTTCGCATATTTGGTCTTAAGCATAGGATTAACTCTATTGGAAGTCTATGAATTCACTCATCTTTTATTTATTCTCTCGGCATTATTTGTTATTTTATTATTTGTAAAAGCTACATGTAATTATTTTTAAATATCAATTTGTTTTTATTATTAATTATGTGAAAGATCTTTATCCGAAATTATTTGCAACGTTTTTTTGTTATTTTTCTCTAAATATGAATTATATAATGGACATAATCAACAAATTTCAAGTTCTTAATAAAGTAGTAAGGAGTTTCAAAAATTCGAGTATTCAAGTTATGGAGTTCCGGATCTCCAACTTGGATAAAGCTCTATTTCTTTATGTATTTGGATTTTTAAGTCCCATCATATCTGTCTCAGAAGAGTAATATTTATTTCCCATGTCTCCTTCAAAATGCAGAGATAACTTAAATTCTTCACCCGAATTACTTTGATACATTCCATTGTTCTCTATGTAAGGGAACAAAGCGTTGATATATCTAAGTATCATAAAAATTATTATCTAAAAACGCAGAAAAATTACATACTAAATTAATATATTTTACATGATTTTCAAACAAAATAGGATTATTAGAGAAGTAAACAGCAGCCAGTATGTGGAGATCGGACTTCAATAATCTCTTTGAATGGGTTCTCCTTTTGGCTAACGTGGATGCCAAATAAAGATAGAGCAACTTGAGGATAAGTCACCTTGCCCGTCTTATTTTCATCAAGGTTTTCGAAATTAGATTTCGTGATGTCTTCGTTGTACTCATTTTGAATGATCTTTGCAATAGACTGATATTGTTGCAAATTGACTTTACGGTCGCGATTCCTTGCGGTGCCACGAAATAGGATTAATAACATTGCTTTGCACTTAAAGTTAGTGTAAGCAGCTTCATATAGAACTCTGATATGATTAAAATCAATTGTGTTCGTTTTACGGTCTTTAAGTCCATTAAAAGCGATTTTTTCGAAATCTTCTTTTTTGCAAATGGGAATTTCTTGAAGGAGGGAATTGAACTGTTTCTCAGATAAGCGGCAATCACCATCATCATCTAAGTCGTTCAGTTTCTCGATAAATGTCGAGTAATCAAGACCTTTAGACATTAACAATAAATGTTAAAAATTGAAAGAATACGAGTTTTGGAATAATTTTGACACAAATGTTTCAAAATTAAATAAGGATTGATATCACTGATAAATTCCCGAACAAATTCTGATTCAAAAAACTCAAAAATTGAGATTAGTTATCAAAAGTGATAGTCAAATTGTGTTCGGAGAAGTTAGACAAGTCGAAATTTTTTTTCATATATATATTAATTTGGTTATCCTTTGCTAGTTTTAACTGATATAATAAAAACTAAGGTTCCTGTTTTAAAAATGTTGTCCTTTCAATTTTTCACCGTAAATGAATTTTACATAATTTACACGAAAAGACTTTCGTATAATATTAATAATTAGCTAATTAAAATATTATAATTTTAATGAATTCATTTTGACGATACCCTTGTAAAACCCCAATTCTGAATAAATCGCCGATTTTGAAAGATATTCAATCTAGAATAAAAAGGTGTGTACCGGTTGCTTCTATCTTTTTACGTGTTATTCAAAATTTACTCGAGGGAAGAAAAAAAAAACAAATATTACTAAAACGATAGCGAAAATCAAAATAGTTAAGATCTTCAGGTGTTAAAGAGCATGTAGTTTAATAAGATACAAAAATGAAGTAAATTAAAATGATGATTTGAATTTTTTTCCCCTGTAATTGCATAACATTCACTTTTCAATACGTCAAACTGTTCTGATTAATAGGATGATTAAACGAAGCAGCAGTTTACTCAGAAAAACAAAAATTGTTAAATATTTTGATCGAAACTGGGCTGAAAGCATTAAAACTAAATCTGCAATGGTATTGGTAAGTTGTGAATGATTAAACAAATGTAATTACATTAAATTTGGATCGAGGATATATTTTGAATTAAGAAGTCATTACCAATATATATATTACTAGGATAACTAAGTATGTAGACTACTTATCAAGTAGTTAAATTGAAAAATGATATCAAGGTTAGGAGAAAATTAAAAATAGTGATTAGGAAATTATAAAAAATAATCTACGGGGCGTTTGACGATCTAATAATTGGTGGTCGTTTCACTCCTTTGTAAATGAATCGAATTTGAGGAAGTCTTTTAATTTCTCGAGGAGTATTTAATGAATGAGTATGTGCACGGCTATCAATAACTTCTTCTAAACTAAGTCTATTTAATGGATCATGGTATTTTTTACTTGCATTCAGATATAAATTTGGATATATTTTTCTCTGAATCGATTGCTCTCTAGAACGAAATTTCATATTTTTTAGCTTATTTTCCCAGAACTGCTTGAGCTCCGTCGGATTTGGTTTGGGGATTGGTTGCAATAAAAAAGATTCTCCTTCAAAAAGGCTTTGAGTATCTCTCGAATCAATAGGCCTGTGTAAAAAATCCTTTATTTCCGAGTTTTGCTGTATTAATATCTTTGAATTGGAAGTCTTTATTCCCATCATTTTCCTTTACAATGGCCGTTTAAAATATTCCATTGTCTTTACTTTGACATTTGTTGAGTAGTAGAAATTGAAATGAAACATTTAGCCTAATTCATGTCAATCTTGATGTAGTCGTGCAGTTCCTTATAGTGCTGAGGAACTTTCACTTTATGCCAAAATATCTTCAATAAAACGTTTTCAATATATAAATCCTCGAACAAACGTAATATTTTCAAACACCATTTTTAAGATAATTATTTTGACCTGATATACAAAAAAAAAACTTATTTTGAAAATAGCAAAAAAATATCAATTCCCTCGATATGTTTAGTATGCTCATAATCACGGATCAGATTCCTATAAGTTGAACAAAGCATAAAATATAATATATATAAATAAATATTTCAAAATTAAAAAAAAAATATTGAAGAAAATAACTAAGATTTGAATGTTGACAATGAAACAGTTAATTCCTTTATAAGTATCAACAGTTTCATTATGTAATAATTAATGATCTTAAATTTATAAAAAAAAAACGATTTTATTTGATATTATAAACATCCAAATCAAATCAGATGTTAATAATGTTACAAAAACAATACAAACATATCTATAATATATACAATTAATTTCGCTGACCAAGTCTTGATGGACTTCTCATTGATTGTTTACTTCTCCTTGAAGACTGCAAAGAAGAAGTGTTTCCTGTGGCTGTTGCACTCCTTTTTCTGTTTATTGGTGTTATTGGAGTCAACTTCAACTTTGGTGTTGAATTCAAATCAATGAACGGAGAATTTGCGTCAGAAGGGATTACAGGCACTGGTCTTGTCTTAACGAGCTGTGCTGACTTCTCAATATTCGTTAATTTCTCCTTTTCTGCTGTCAATTTCTGAAATCTTTTAACTACAGGTTTCATTGACCTTTCTTTTGCGATCTGCGCGGAGCAAAGCTTCTTCTCTCTTATAACTCCTTTCGTACTACACTCCATTTCGTACTTTTTGGTAAGAAGGTTATCGGCTGCCAAATATCCTTCTTTCATCCTTTTTTCGGCTTCGGCAGATTCCACTTTTTCTATCGTTCTGATGACTTCCCCGGCTTTTTTTGCCTTTTCAAAGTCCCTCTGCCTGATGAGTTGCGAAGCGGAATATCTCGCGTTAAGGAGAGCGGGCGATGGCTTTGAATATTTGAGGATTTTCTTTTGAGATTGCCATTCATGGTCTAACATATCTTGTTCGTGAAGAAGTTTGAGCTCAAGTTCCTTAAGGCCTGTACTATATTCTGTTTCTATAAGTTTCGTTTGGTTCTCCCAATACTCTGTCTGATCTTTTATTTCTTGTTCTGCGTAAGCAAGGTTTTCGTTGCATCTCTTCATATCTAATCGTGTTGGAATATAGTCTGGTGAGTTTTTCAGGTTCTCTGCTACTGAATTTATATAAGCAGCTTCGAAAATTAATCCTTTGCTCGAACAAATCGATGTATACTTGTAAAGATCGGATAATAAGTGAGTCTTATCTTCTTTTGTAAGTAAAGGAAGCTGATGCTGAGCTAAAGCCTGGCAAATTAAAGAATCTGGCGAATGATAAACGATTCTTTGAAGATTTCCTGGCATTGAGTATGTATAACATGGTCCCTGATCTTCACTTGGAGAAAGTGTTGATATTCCACCTAAATTTAGTCTGCAATCTTGTGGTAATTTCGGAAATGAATCAGATGATTTATCAGAATTATGAGAAATGTTGAGAGACTCAATGGGAAGTTCTGTTGTTAGTAATTCGTTGTTATTTTCGTTGTCATTTGTTGTCTCATTCATAGCTGTTTCGTTTAAAATTGTTGAATTTGTATTTTCTATGGTTGTTTCATTTGATATTGTAGGATTTTCTTGGTTATCGGGTAATTGTTCTTTAACTTCGTTCGTTGTCGTTTGATTTTCGTTATTTTCGTGGTTAACAGGTGTGGATAATTCAGATTGTATTAATTCTTTAGTATTTAAAGTTGAAAGCGTTGTATCTGTTGTATTATCGCTAATTGTGGTGTTTTGTGTCTCCGGTTGTGGATTTTCTTCTGGAGATTTTGATTCATTTTGTTCTTGTGACTCATTATTAGCAATTATTGTAGAGTCTTCAACTTCTTTGAGAAGACTAGTAAGATTGTGATCGGAAGGAGATTTGGGCGGTGCTTTTTCTTCATCTAATAATTGTTGGACTTCATTTGATAAATTTATTTCAAGTTTGTCATTAGTAACGGACTTGGAAGGGCTAGACAAACTATCAATTGAGCTGTTTGGATCATCTTTATCGAGCCCTTTTTGGACTTTCATGTTAATATCAAAAGTTAACGTACCTAAAATTGAATTAAACAAGTTGCTTTCAAGCGTTGTGTTACCTGATTGATCGTCCAGCTTCTGAATTGATTGGGGAGCTAAGCTCTCAGAAAGCTGGTTCATCTCGAAATGTAACGAAGTTTTGTGTTGTTTTGTAAATTTTTTTTCTTATAAACCTTTTAATATTTTGGGAATATGATCTTGACCGTATGAGCATATGTAATTTTGAATTTATGGCTTGCAAATGGCATTTCAGATCATCATTTCAAGAAATTTTAATTTAAAAATTGAAATTTCTTGAACTACTAAGAACCAAAGTTATATTTTTCATGTTCCGAAAAAAATGTAAAAAGTATGTCACTTTTTATAGAATTCTCCATTTGTAATGAATGATTTTCGGAAACAAATACCATTGACACAACGTCCTGTGAGAAGGATGTATGTACATGGTCAAATTAACAGTGCCCGAGAATCATTTCCACAAAATAAGAAAATTGGTTTTTTTCCGGAATTCAAATATAATGGAAATGCAATGAAGTATGAATTTAAAGCTTCTGAAGAAAGAATAAAAGCAGTATCAAATGGAAAGTCTCTTATCAGTATAATTAATTCGAAACCAAAAATTCATCAAATAGAACATAAAACGCCAAGATGTGTCGAAATCAGAAAGAAAATGGCCCAACTTAGACCAATTAACTATACTACAAAACAAAAAATCGAATTTATCCAACCTATTTATGATTCTGAATCAAAAAAGCAACTTAATCAATTCATTGGTAATGAATATCATACAAAAATTAAAGAAATGATCTCTGACATTAATGAAGAAACTGATCAAATTCAAAATGTTCAAATACACGAGTTAAACTACTTAAACGAGAATAGGCGTAATTCAATGATACAATTCTATAATAATTCGCTCCATATGGATGTTGATGACGCTTTAATTAAATCGAAAACAGAAAGTGATTTAATTCGATTGAAACTATTTCATAAAAACAATAAAGATTGGTGGGATGAATTTATCGATTATGCCCAAAGTGAACCTGTTGGGAAATTAGAGCTTCAATTCATTCAGGAATTATCAGAGATTGATAATCTAAATATTTCAACTTATCTACGTCTTAGGAAGAGATTATTGGATGATCCCAAAAAGTGCACTCTATGCCTAAAGCTACTTGACTGGATAAATTCGAAAATCCAAATTATAGATCCTGAAGCACAGGATGTTATAATGAATGTTATTGTTAAATAAAATCTGTTTGTATTACTCTTTTATTAAGGGTTTCGTTTTGCGAAAAAAACGTACAATACGCAATTTCGCTAAAAAAACATTTAGCTAGCAATTTCGACCTTTGACTCCACTCAAGACGTCACTTTTTTAATTTTGCGGTATCATATTTTTGGAAAATCTTTATGAATATTATATAAAAAGTCTCTTTAATATCTATATTTCATATTTTTATCGATTTTTAAAGTTTTTGCGAAAAGTATTCAATTATTTTTGCTATTTGGTCGGGGAAATGTCAGATTTGCGACATTTTCTGATATGATATTCAGATTCTACGTTGATAATAATGCTTATAGAACCCTCTTGCTATTGTGTCAAAATTGCGAAACCGATAGCAAAAATATCTCGCAATATCAAAATTGAGATATTGAGTGAATTATGCATTATAGAGATTCAAAATCTGATTTGTGAAAACATCTCATCAGTTTCTAGCTAATTCAAAAATCTTTACTATCTTATTCGATTAAAATGAAAAGGAAATAGTTTCATTATGCTTTAAATGACAGCCTTATAATATAATCATAGTTTTCGCTCAATATGCAGCATTTTTTTTTCGAAATCTATGGTCAATGTCCTAAATACTGATTGCTTTGCATTCATATTTCTTACATTTTCTATACCCACATCACTATTCATTGCTATTCCTATCTTTTTCATTTTTGTTTGTTTCTCATAATTTCTCAAAAAACACGATAACTTGATATTTGTAAATATCATACTTTATAACGTAAATAAGAACTTGACCTATTAAGAAAAGCAGTAATGAAAAGAAAATCTGAAATTCATAAAAATTACAAGTTTCTGATGACAATTAGCTTAATTAAACCAGGTACAAGATTATATAATTGTATTTTCTATCCAATTATCCATATAATATCTTATCCAGAAAAAATAACTTGATCAATACCAAATGATTTTTTAACTAGTAAATAAAGTATTTTCTTTACACACACATTGTATATCATAGTTTTTTTTTGGTTTCGCGAAACATCCAAAAACAAATATGCTATAAAAGTGACAATTTTAGCAAAACGAAACCCTTACTTTTATAATTCAAGGTTGTATCTTTAACTCTTCTTACTCCAATCAAAATGGCAGATTTATCAAATCAACCAGTTTTGGCGAATATTTGAAAGCTATGAACTCTTATATTCAACCGGATATCTTAAATTCTCTGATTAATTTTTTCGAAATAATTTTATTGGTTACTGGCGTATATATAAAATTTATTCGTAATCGTCTCGTTCGCTTTTAATTTATAATCTTATTATTTAGATATTATAGAATTCAATAAGATAGTTATTTGAATGGTTCTTGATTTAATGAATTCAATTTTTGAGAAGATTCTGCCAATCATAAGAAAAATTAACGATCGAATGTTTAATACATATATTAACTATGCTATATTGGTTACGATATTGAGATCTGAAAAGTGGCATTAATTTACACTAAAAAGTGACAAATTATCTGCAAAGCCTTGACAATACTCGAAAAGCTAATGCTGAGACAAATTATTTCAGCAGGGAATCCTGTTACAAGTTTGTCTGTATATAAACAAACAACGAGCAAAGTTGACATTTTATGGACTTCTCTTTCAGTGATTTCATGTTTTGCTGTTTCTTTTAGTCATTTCTCATATTTTACGCAAATAATCCGACGAGATTCAAATAAAAACAGTGTGGTATCATCGATTCTCTTCAATATCGCTCAATTTTTGATTTTAATACAATATGCTTCAATAAATATCCCGGATTTTATTAACTATTTAACAATGAATTCGAAGTATTTGTTTGCACAAATTCAAATGATGATCACATTGTTCTTATTTTGGTATTCCTCACTCCCAATTATATTCTATGGGAGTTTCTTCAACTTCAAAGCAACTAAATCGCATAAAAATGATAAAAAGTTCATGGATGTCGTGTTACCTATTGGAATGTTTACACTCTACATCAGTATTATGCTTTGTTTAACAATATATTTTGTCATTTACGGATATCAGCACATATCGGCATATGTGATTTATATTCTTGGAATAACTCCATGTATATTGTATATAATTCAAGGTGTTTTAGATTCATTTCTAATAAATACCTTGAAAGATAGGTCCTCTTTCTTAATTATCCCGCTGGTAGCCCTTATTATAGGAAATACAATACTTCTTATAGAACTACTTCTTAATCATTCTCATATTTGGCTAGTTAAAATACCGATAATCATCTCTATCCTTACAAAGTCGTGCGTTTTGGCTACATGCTTCTATCATAAGTATCATGCACGCAATTTAGCGCCAGCTCCTCTAATTGCGGAGGAGTCATCCGATGATGAATTTACCGATAGCAATAACGAAGCCCCTAAGCAAGCAATTTAATACGTAGTGATATTATTTTGTTTAGATTGTATGTTTTTAAAGCTTATTCTTGTTTGAAATAATTATTAATATTTTTTTTCAAAAAATATTAACAAAAACATTAGGATATTGTTTCTACGATTCACAGATGGTTCTGAATTTCAGTCTATTAGAGTTATCTGATCGGCGACATTTCCGAAACAGAAAAATTTATATTTCCCAATCTTTCACCGACCTAATTAAAGATCTCTCAATCAAGAGCATTTTACAATTCTTTTGAAAGTTTATTTTGAACCATTTTTTGAAAACAGCTGAATATAGGTATTTATCTTTAGTTTTCAGCCTAAAAAAGTGGACTCTAATATTGCATGGTAATATTCTAAGAATGCAATCATGTCCAATAGTTAATTCAATGGTCCTCAAACGCAAAAAAAAAGGTATTCATTTTGTTCTCCCTTAATCAAAGTCAGAGTAATACAAACTCATATACACCTTACATGACAATCCTTCTTGAATGGAAAATATTTGGCTTTACAAATAATTACATTCAGCTATTTAATTGCAATATATAAGAGACAATTCTTCGATTTAGATTACTGAAGTACTTGACCATAACTTCATTGATTCGAAATGTCCAATTACCAAATAAATAATTTGATTCCTTTGCAAAATACTGTCTTGTGAGTTATTAAACTTACTGATTTTCACTATCCATCATACTTTTAGCTTTCATTAACTAATGTTAAAGAAAATAAGAAATTTTTTTCACAAATAACTTGTACCAGGTATAAGTTTGATTAACTCTTATCTTGTTTTCTAGTAAAAGATTGGATTACGTAGTATAGATAAGTGATATTACATTAGATTTCTTTGATTTTGCCTTGAAATCATCAAAATACACTTTTTTAGCTTTTTTGTAACAGTACAATGAATCAAATTATGGAAATGCCCCGTTCTTGTTCAAAATATATGTTTTGTAATTCCAAAAAAATTTCAAAATTTAAAAAATCAATTGAAAAATAATGAAATTCACATTGTATTTTCCGTTTTACGAATTTTTTTGACTATTAAAGTTGTTTGTTTTATAAATACATTGTGATCACCATTACAAAAAGTTCAGTTAAATCTGGGAATTTGAAAAATAAACCAGATCACAAACAAAATCTCAAAGTTAATAATTAAGATAAAGATATTTAAAATACACAGTGCAGAAAACTATGATTTTCCCTTATTTAATTGTATTGTGTTTGAATAACAAAAAATATTTTTTGCTCTTATGGAGAATCAGAATATATATATTAGAGTATTGACCTATATTTAGATAGTAAGTATAATTCACTTGAATTCGATAGATTAAAACCATAGGATGAAAAATTTTTTATTTTAAATTAAGAAGTTGTACTTTAATATTTCAGTAAAATAACGTACATAAGTATTAGTTAACTGATTTATTGCATTATGGGATGCTATGCCGATTAATAACAAAATATATTTGGTATTTTCTAAAAGGAAAAAAATATTTACATCAATGAGTAATCCAAATACTCTATTCCTCAAAGATCAAGTATCACATATATTTTATCATTGGAAAAATGAATTTTTAAATCTCGGAAGATTTATGACTGATTTGGATAATGTATTTGAATCGTAAACATGCTTTCAATGGTCTACAAACTCGGTTTTTCTGATCTCTAAGAGGGCAAGTTCTTTTCAGCGTTTTTTCTTTGATTCTTGCTTGTTCTTGAGTAAATGAAAGTGAAGATAGATAGTATTTCATGGTGACAACTTTTACCATTAAAGAACAATGATTTCAATTGAGTAAAATCATCTATCAATCAAGATAAAAATGATTTCAAGAAAATGTGACAAATTTTATGCTAAATCTTTTTCTTTATTATCACCACAGCTCTTCACTAGATAACAAAAAGGGCATAATGGCTCGATTTTATAAATTGGGCAAAGTAAATATCAATGTTAGCGGATCTTCTACTCAATATATTAACGGAAGTAGGCAATTAACTAAACCGTCTTACGCAGTTGACCAAGTTGATAAGACATACGACTGGTGTTCTAACTGTGGTAACACTCCTGAGGAACAACCATGGATTGTCTTTTCAATCAAAGATTCACCGTTGTCAATTTCTGGCTACTATTTGAGAGTTGGATGCTGCAAATACAATGGCTGCTGTTGTGAAGAACTAGGATATTGCTCACGCTGCTGCCTTTACAGTTGGGCTTTTCAAATTTCGGATGATGCCAAGAATTGGAAAGAAGTTCATAGAGTTGAGAAAGACATTAAGGCAGAGTACTGCGCGGAAAGACAATATGATTTCAAACAAGCTTATAAGGCAAAATATTTTAGGTTGATCCAGACTGAAGCTTGCCCTGGAGAACCCCCTTGCTTATCATTAAACAAGTTTGAAATGTTCGGAGATCCAAATGGTGAAGATGCTTCTTATATAGTTTATAATGAAGATGAAGAAGATGACGTCAGCATTATTGGACATCTTTCAAAAGAGAATAGAATTTAATGAGGCATAAACTAAACTACAAAGATTCTTTTTGCTTACTTTAATAGCTATTCTTCGAAACTTTATATGTGACAATAATCTTTTGAAAAATTCTACCCTAATAATGTTCTTCTCAGTATTTTACAGTCGTACCTAGATATTTATGTTTATTACTGTAAAATAATAAATACAGTCTCATTAATAAAAAAACTATGATATTTTGAAGGATAGAAACGCTTTATTTTGAAGTAAACAATAACATGATATTGATTTTAGGGATTGGTGCTTATGCATAGTAATTGGCCCACTTGGAAAAGGCTCTTTGTGCGTCTTCACATACGAATGACTTTGAAAAGGAGATGTTTTCGCCAAGGTATTTAGCTTTTTGCTTTTCTAGCTTTTGACGCTGCGATTTAACTAATAACTTATAACCATAAAAGTCAACATACTCTTCGGATGAGCTGCTTTGCTCTTCTGATTGACTTTCGACATCGGAGGGGATAAGATGCTCTGAGGACATGATTGATAAATGAAAAATTTATAAAATTTCAATAAATTAACAGTATTGAATAAAAAATTTTTACGTTGAGAGTGATTATTCAATTTTGAAAAACCTTGAAAAGTCTATAAACTATATAAGGATAAATAATAAAACATATTATTTCATTAATCGTAAATACTCTCAAATTTTCATAACAATAATGACCATTATTACTCTCAAATTTACCAAATCACATTTATATGATTTTCTATTCGATGATAATGAAGAATATTTCCCAATTAAAACAAAAAGTGTCAATACGAGATCATTCAATAACGTGTTAAGTATTAATATAAATACACAATTAATTGCATATAATTTTATTTAATGTAAATATATCAATTAAACAGATTATCAAATTTTGAATGATTTACATTTCAAATGATGGAATACTTTGGTACAGAGTGGAAAATTATCAATTATACGAGCTCAACTAAGCATCCCTGAAATTGGTAGTATAATTGCCTCTAAATATGATCGAATTATTGATCTGAAAACCAGATATATTACATAATCTTTATTCATGAAGCAAAACATAAAAAAGTCATATGAATTCATTTTGTTTATATATTGGTTATATGGCTCTTTGTTATTTGATCGAATTAGAGAAAATAGATTTGCTTTCCAAAAAGACGTATCAGGAGAATGAGCACGTCTTTGGATTCGCAGTTTATCATCATTTATGGTCATATCATTATTTTCATAAGGGGTTTTACATTAAAAATATTGAACTACACTTCAGGATGGGGGAATAGAAACGTGGAAGCACTATTATGTAGACTCTGAGTAATTTACCTTTTTTGAACAATTTATATATAGCTGAACTTTCTGAATATTAAAAAAAGTTGCAACTACTCTATGTTTTTATGTTGTAAAAGCTTTTCGATTCTTGATGTATATCATTTGAGGTGTAAATTTTCAAAGAGAGATTAATATATTTCATTTCTTGCTTCCTTATCGAAGTTTCAACGAATAAGTGTATTTATATCTATTTTTGAAATATTTTCCCTATCCAATTCTTCGTAAATTAAGTATTCACAGCTGAACCTTATAAAGTTGGTCATCGACACTTTTACACTCAGAAATATAATAGGTTATTTTAATTGACACAAAAAATATTAGAGTTAATACAGACATCAGACTGTAATATATTTTGCAAAAATAATTTAATTGAATTATTATTTTTATTAAAATAATCTGCAAATAAGATGTGTTGACCAATTATTTGAGTTAAACTATTGCTTCAAAGAAATTCAATTAACTTATTCAGATAATTTAAACGTACTCGGTTTTGTATGAAAATAATTGAAATATTATTATCCAAATCGAAAATAGATCCATATTCCCGAGACGATAAAACGTGCTTTTTATCACCCGAAGTATTCAAAAATTTACATAATTATAAATAATATTTTTTCTTATATTAAAAGAATAATACACAATAATTCATGTAGGATAACTTCCGTAAAAAACTATTTTCTGAATTTGAATGCACGTTATCTTTTAAAAATTGACCAGCTCCATTCAAAAATTTCAAAATAGTAGAAGTAAAATTTTTCCTCCTTATTGGAAAAATATCTATTTCATTATTTTAATATTAACTCCCGATATAGACAAAAATTTTTAAAAAGCATTCATTTATTATATATCATTTTTTAAATGCTAAATTACAATATAACTCGTATTACATAATTTTAATTTTCTGAATATCCAATTTGATTTACAATATCTTTCAATTTTTTTGACATCTATTATTTTCACATGATGCATCATAAAGGTTCTGTCTCTAAAGTACGATTTACCTCAGAAGAAGACAAAAAGCTCACTGAAATAGTAATGAGTTATGGAACATGCGACTGGGATTTGGTTTCTAAAGTTATGAAAACAAGAACTGCAAGACAATGCAGAGAAAGATGGAATAATTATATCAGTTCAAACTTGACTAATGCTCCATGGACAGCTACAGAGGATGAACTATTGAACGATCTTTATGATGAATATGGAAGTCGGTGGTCCAAAATATCCGAATTCTTTTCCAACCGTTCTGCAAATTGTGTTCGTAACAGAATTAAGCTCCTTCAGCGAAAATCGATAGTTAAAAATGAAAAACCAATTCCTACTGAAATATCAAATCCTAGTAACATTAAAAAGGATTTCAAGGGTTCCAATGATCCAAAACAAGCTGTTTCTTCTGCTACACATGCAAATACATTAAATTCAATGTTTAATGAATTTGAATTTGATGATTTTATGGATCTATTTGACTCAACAACATCTCATAATCAAATTATAATGTAACTACACATTTATATTATTCATTTTCCTTGTTTGTTCATAAGTTCAAATAAATAATTAAAATATTTTGGATATTGTTTAATTGCAACTTCAAATCCATTTTAGTTACATGTAACGAAAATAAAAATGAAATCAGAAATAATAATTAAAATAAATCAACATTTTCTTTTTTCCAGTTCAAGAATCTTGATCGAGTCGACATGTATATTATCTGATTTTATAGATCATCTATAAATCAAAATTTCATTTTTGCAAAAATAACAAGATATAGTATATTTGTGAAATATATGAAAAAAATTCAATATATCGTATTTAAAATAACTAATTCAATTATATTGATACAAAGGATTAGAATTTATCAGACGAATGCATGAAGAGAGTCTTACAATTTGAATTTTCTCACAATTTGTTAAATTCAAAGTCAATACAAATTACTAACGTTCTAAACAAATTACTTGGTAAAAAATACGGAGAATTCAATAATAAGGAGGTGCAATTATTTTGAATATTACTAGTAGTATTGAAAATTTTCTTCTTAACGAAGTTTTCAATACCCACACAACAATTATTTAGAATTTGAGCGATAAATCGGCGTCAAAAATTTTCTCACTGGGTTTTCGTCTATCAATCCCAGCTCATTATATACGCAACCAATCAAAAATCTGATATGGGAGTCCAAGGCTAACTTTTTGTTGTCTACCTAATAAAAGAGGAAGCAGCATTAGTGAGAATAATCGCAAATATTCAATTTAAATTATCTTTTTATTCTTAATTTAAAGTGACAAAAAGAATAAAAAACCTATTCTAAGGCATGTTGTTATGTAAATGAGACTAGACATCATATTTTATGTTATGAAAAAAAATATTTAGAATTTTAGAACAAAATAAATAGAAAAAATAGCATAACTTATGGATGTGCGTATATTAAATTTAATAAATTAAGAGAAATTATTTTTGGCGCCAAAATTATTCGTTAACTCTCAAATTTTTCTGAGTCAATAAGCCGCCAAAAAAGTGTCATTTCTTTATAGGAAAGGAAACCTATTTGACGAACAATCCGGACACTAGTGCCTCAGCGAATTTCCCCAAACCCACCAATCCCTTCCCTGCTGTTGTGCACCATCGATGGAAAGTAAGTCATCAATAGTCTCTTTTCCTTGGACTTGAAATGTAAGTCTCGGACGAAAGTAAGTCTGACTTGAAATGTAAGTCTCGGACGAAAGTAAGTCTGACTTGAAATGTAAGTCTCGGACGAAAGTAAGTCTGACTTGAAATGTAAGTCTCGGACGAAAGTAAGTCTGACTTGAAATGTAAGTCTGACTTGAAATGTAAGTCTCGGACGAAAGTAAGTCTGACTTGAAATGTAAGTCTCGGACGAAAGTAAGTCTGACTTGAAATGTAAGTCTCGGACGAAAGTAAGTCTGACTTGAAATGTAAGTCTCGGACGAAAGTAAGTCTGACTTGAAATGTAAGTCTCGGACGAAAGTAAGTCTGACTTGAAATGTAAGTCTCGGACGAAAGTAAGTCTGACTTGAAATGTAAGTCTCGGACGAAAGTAAGTCTGACTTGAAATGTAAGTCTCGGACGAAAGTAAGTCTGACTTGAAATGTAAGTCTCGGACGAAAGTAAGTCTGACTTGAAATGTAAGTCTCGGACGAAAGTAAGTCTGACTTGAAATGTAGTCTGAGAAAATGTAAGTCTCGGACGAAAGTAAGTCTGACTTGAAATGTAAGTCTCGGACGAAAGTAAGTCTGACTTGAAATGTAAGTCTGACTTGAAATGTAAGTCTCGGACGAAAGTAAGTCTGACTTGAAATGTAAGTCTGACTTGAAATGTAAGTCTGACTTGAAATGTAAGTCTGACTTGAAATGTAAGTCTCGGACGAAAGTAAGTCTGACTTGAAATGTAAGTCTCGGACGAAAGTAAGTCTGACTTGAAATGTAAGTCTCGGACGAAAGTAAGTATGACTTGAAATGTAAGTCTCGGACGAAAGTAAGTCTGACTTGAAATTTAAGTCTCGGACGAAAGTAAGTCTGACTTGAAATGGAAGTCTGATTCTAAATGTAAGTTCTAGACTAAAGTAAGTCTGATTCTAAATATAAGTCTGATATTAAGATAAGTTTGTAACTAAAATTAAGTCTTATTCCAAAAGCAAATTTAATTGTATAATAAGTCTGGATCTAGAGTAAGCCTTAGTCTACAGCTATTCTGTGTCAAAAATAAGTCACGAACCATAGTAAGTTTCGGACTAGAGTATGTCTGTAATTCGAATCATTCATATTCTTCAATTATCCCGCCAAAAAAATTATCGTCTTTTTATCATACCATAGTTTTTATCAATCTCGTTCTACTAAAAAACCTTTATATTGGTGATTTCTTTGTTAAACCCGTATTTTTTCATGTGAATCTTATTGTATAAACTCTAAAAGTTCAATTTCCGGTCGAAAAAAACTTGAAAACAATTTGTATTCGACGAGTTAAAGAGCTCTATTTATTCTAAATTTTCCAAAAAAAATTAGATTTCGTTTTTTCGCTTCAAAAAATGTTGTTTTAAGTTTTAAAATTTGTAATTCAAAATTTTTTTGGAAAGATTTACGATTTTTTAATACTGCGAATGAGTTTTATTTTACATACTCTATTGATAAATCATATTTTTGTCGAGATATAACTTTTTTTTAAAAAATTATATGCAAAGAGTGTTATAAAAAAAGGGTAGTGGGGCTTCCAGGCGCGTTGCGCCCTCTAGCCCTGAAGATGTTTAGTATAAATGAAGTTTATATTCGGAGGGCTTCCAGGCGCGTTGCGCCCTCTAGCCCATAAAAAATTTCTGAGGACGAGCCAGCCGTTGACTTTTTTGTAGAGCACTCAAAATAGTATAACTTTGTCCGGACAAGTAAGGGTCTATCATCGCTACAGGAAAAGTTACAGGCGTTCCAAGGAAGTATACTTTGAGAAGCCTTTTCCCCCTTATAGAATGAGATAAGACGGTTATTTTACAAAACTGACAACACTTTGACCGAGTAGTTTTTTGTGCTGAACAAAAAGTGTCATATAAACATCTGTCAAAATCGCTTTTTAACTTCACTTAAAATGCCACGTAAGCTACGTAAGAATATACGTAAGAGGAAGGGAGCATTGAAACATCCAATAGTAAAACTGACACCACAACAACAGTTGCAACAACAAATGATGAATGACCCCACTATGTTGCAACAAATGTCAAGCAACCCTATGCTTTTAAACCGAGTTATTGGTGCACAGAGTGGAGGTTTAAGAGCGGCACTTTTAGCGAAAATGGCAGGCTATGGTGGAGCTGCAGACGGAACAGCTTATAACCCTCAAAGTCAAATGAATTTGAGTTCACTCAAAAATCAAATAACAGATGTCAAAAGGTCAAACATAGACATACAGAAACAAATAAGTGAAAACGAAAAGAAACTAGAATATGAAAGACACACAAAGAAACTCAATGAGTTAAACGTAGAGAAAGAAGAAAGAAGAACAACTGAAAGAACTAAGTACAGAGGAATATGCGAAAAAAGTGTCAGAAAAAGCAGCAGAAGTAGCAAAAATGGAACAAGATGTTATAAATTTGAAAAACCATACTACTCAATATAAAGTACTGAAAGATGAAGAGATAAAACAAAAAGCCATGAAGACATATATGGATAGCGATGAGTATAAAAAAGAAGTTGAAGCAAATGTAAAGGCAGAAAAACTTTTACAGTTGCAAAACCAAACCGTACAGTATGAAAACTTAGCACAAGAAAGTAAAAATAACGACGCAGCCATGCAAAAGGCAATGAAAAGCGCAGAATATATAAAAGCTAATAATGACTGGTTAGATGCCCAAGCCAACGCTAAAGCAGCCCAACTTATAGGGTCAATAAGGACAAAAATACAAGCGGATGAAGACAGTTCAAATGAAGCTTTAATGAATGCTGACTTTAAGAATGCCTTCGAAGCTCTTCATAGTAAGGTGAAACTAGTGAACGACTTCTCATCTGGAAAGAAACTGAAGTCTCAAGGTTTCGACAAAGAGTTAAGAGAAGTAGCACAAAATATGACGAAAATAACAGATGCAGCAACGAGACAGGCAGTTCAAAGTGCCTATGACGCCGTTAGAGCAACTGTTGTGGAAAGTCAAGAAAAAGAGTTACAACAGACCAAAACAGACCTAGTAAATGCTTTCTTAAGAACGAAAAGTCAGGTAGGACATTATGCTGCAGATGGAACATATGTGCCAGCTGGTGGAACTTATATACCACCAAACCCTCCAAGAGAAGCACCTGCACCAGGACTACCTAAAACATTTACATCGTCACATGGACACAGACACAGGCATGCACCAAAACCAACACAACAACCAACAGTTCAAAATCCAGCACCACAACAACAACCAAAACCAACAGTTCAAAACCCTGCACAGCAACCAACAGTTCAAAATCCAGCACAGCAACCACAAACAGAGCAAAGACACAAAAGAAGTAGAGAAAAAGGAAACCAAGAATTCTTAAAAATGCTTAAGGAAGATTATGGTTATCCAGATACTCTTGACTTTAGTGACAAATATAAAGAAGCTATTAGAAAGTTCAAGGAAGGAAATACTGACCCGAACCTATTTAGCTTTATGGTTCAGCATAAAATCGGATATAATCTCAAACCTGGAAAATACAAGCTCGCTAAGGGATATGATTTAATAGCATATCATCCAAATGACATGAATGAATTTACTCCGAGATATTTGGTGTCAGAGCTAAATGATAATTCAACTCTCTTCATGAAACGCGTAAAAAATAGAGACGGAACGAAAGAAGAAAGGTTTATGAGTCCGGATGACTTAGATAGGGAACTTGTTAAAAACGGTCTCGGAATATATGAAATGCCAGCAGATGAGGTACAAGAAACTCAACAGGAAGAAGTTCAGATACAACCAGATATGGAAGAAATAGTTCAGCAACAACAGCTAGAAGAGCCTGAAGGAAACGAACAAGTCCCTCCTT